CCGCCAAACTGGCCTTTGCGCAAAGGCCAGGGAGTTGGGATGTGCCCCTGGGGCAGCTACGTGCGAGGGTCCGGGAGTCGACCCCGTCTGCCGCTTGGGCAAGCCGCAGTAGCAACTAGCAAAGCCAGGATCTAGCCACTTGCCTTGGAGGTTCCCAGAGATAATGCCAGGAGCCTGATTCCGTGCGCTGTTCTTAGTGCTTTAGGTGTATTAGCTCGTCCCATTCTCCCCTTCGATCCCCTCCCCCACGTCCTGCGAGGAGGCACAATTGCTGCCCTCCTCTTCCCGGGTTGGACCGGTCCCTGCAGCCGGCAGCCCCAGTAGTAGGACTGGGAGCCCGGTGCTCTTAGCCGTGTGGGTGCTGCCTGCGGCCCAGCTGGGGCTCCTGAGAGGACCCCATGGAACTGGGGGAGGCGCCTGCAGCAGCAGCGTCGCACCAAAGCTGGCCCGGAGGTGTCTTCCTCCCGCTTAGTGGAGCGGTCCCAGGGAGGGACTCCATCTCCTCCCGGTCTGCGCTGCCCAGGGAAACAGGAGGAGCCTGTGGTTTCACCCTCCAGGCCTAGCCCCCGCTGCCTGCCTTCTCCTCCCAGCTCCCTGTCTTCCTTCCTGGCAGCACCCAGTGTGCTGATACAAAGGATGGGATTGTGTGATCACAAGATGAAGGTGGACTCCACCCCTCCTGCACCTCAAGGGCCAGGGCTGTGTTTTGACCACTGCTAAGTCCCCTGCCCCAGCAAAAGCCTGACACCGACAAGGTACATCACATCTGTGGAATGAATGACTCCGTCCAAGGCTCACTGTCTGCCCTGAACAAGATGGAGAGCCAGGACAGAGACCTTGCAGCCCCAACCTCTTCCCTGGTCAGGCCTAGCCTGGCTCACCTGCCCCGAATCCCAGACCAGAACGGAAGATCCTGGCAGGGTTTCTTCCAGAGAAGCTGAGACACCTCCTCCCCATCCCTGTCAAGGCAGTGGGACCACTCCTTTCCACATGCTCCCCACCCTCCCCCACTTCACTGCCCAGAACTGGCCCTACCCTTAGGCTCCCCCAGGACTCGGGGCCCACTGCTCATCTACTTCTGACACCCTGGCTCTTCCAGACTTCGCAGCTGTCCAGGAGTCAGGGTGGGGATTATTGGCCCCATTTGCAGAGAAGAAACTTAAGGCCAGGACACACTCTGAGGCTGGAGGAAGGGGGCAGTTGAGCCCCAGAGAAAGGATGGGAGTTGCTTTCAGAAGGGCTGAGGTGTTTCCATTTCTAACTGTCTCCTGCTCCCCGACCTCTCCACTCTTTGTGGGGGGCTGTCAAGTATGTCCTGGGGGCCATTCCCCCACCTCCGCTGCATGCGCTGTGTGGGTACATCCAGTTCACACCGTGGACATACAAAACAGGTAGTAGTGTCAGGTGCCAAGGTGCCTTATGGGAAGAGAGTATTGGTTTTGGGGAAGAGGGGAGCTTCCAGGAGGATGTGGAGTTTGATCCTGAGCCCTTAGGATTTTCAGAGAAAAGGAGTGAAGAGGGTTTCATGGTCAGGAGGACAGCGGAGGTAAAGGTAGTGAGTGACAGAGACCGGGGAAGGAAGTGGAGCTGACCGGGGAGGGAAGTGGAGCTGTTTGTGTCCAGAAGAGCCTAAGACTTAAGTCTTCAAGGCTCCTACGAGAGTGGGTAGGGCTGAGCCATGGCTGGAAGCCTGGTCTTTTCCCCTTCACCCTGAAGAGTGATTGAGGCTTGAAGTGGAGACATACCCTCTAGGACTGCAAGAGGGGAGCAGAGACCACGCCCCACCTACCTTCAGCTCCTGCACTGAGAGCTCATGGCCCAGCTCCCTAGTGCTGTGGATAATCATGGCCAGGGCATCACCTGGCTCCCCAGCCATGTCTTCATGGAGCTTCTCTGCAATGGCCTCCTCCAGGTGCCGATGGAGCTGGTCCCTTGCCCGGATGCCCTGATGGGCAGGGAGAGAGGGAGGTGGGGCAGGAAGGTTGAGGGGGCCAGGCCTGGGCACCTCCCTGCCCCCAAATCTTCCCAAGGCTGCTCTGCTGAGTTCCTAACGTTAAGTGTCCTAGCTTAGTTTCATGCCTGGCACATAGAAGGTGCTTAATAAATACTCAAAGTTTGTTCACTTTTCCAATACATCATTCTCTCTTGTTTATCACAGCTCCCTTTGAGGTAGGCAAACAGTTTCTTTGGTCCTTACGGGAGGATGCCGAGGTTCAGAGGGGTCAAGCAATTGCCTAGAGTCGCACAGCGGTCAGTGCCCATTCCTGGCACAAAGTTGTGGAGGTGGAACCAGCCCATTGCCTTTCCCCTGCATGGGTAGGGACAGTGGGCACCAGTGCAGAGAGCAAGGGACAGACACCTTGATGCACCCAGAAAAGCTCTTGCTTAGAGGACACGATGGCTGTTTTAAGCATTAGCCTCTGTAAGGAGATAGGCAAGAGGGCCAGGGTGTCCCTTCAGAGTTCAGGGAGCAAGAACAGCAAAAGCACTTGAGCGCCTGAGTTTCGTAGTTAGATTAGGTCAGGTTCAAATCCTGCCTCTCTGCCCCTCTACTAGCTGTGTGATCTTGGGTAAATTATTTAACCTGTCTGAGCTTCAATTTCCTCATCAACAAAACGTAACACTTTGCAGGTTGAGAGGATTAAATCAGGAAATGTATCCAAGGTGATCAGCCAGTATAATGCCCCTTTATACATAACTATTATTTTTATTCAGGTGACTGAAAACCGCTGCATTGGCACAGGAGAAGCCCCAGCTCAGTGCGAAGGGAAAGGCGGCACGGGGCTTCCTAGCTGCTCCCCGGGCCTGGCCCTACGCTCTGAAGTCGGAAGAGGCCGCGGTTCTCTAATCCGGAAACTAGCGGGCCCGGGGCCGCGGGCAGGGAGCCGGCACCCACCCCTCTCCAACCCGGGCTGGCGCCGAGCTGGGCCAGGGGCGTGTCTGCGGCCCATCCGTTCCGCAGCCGTCCGGGCTTCTAAAGGGGTCTGGAGGCCCGGCCAGGAGGCGCCGCTCTGGGGAGGGGCTGGGCCGACTGGCCCGGCGCCTGCCACCGAGCATCCAAAGGGAGGCCCCGCGGCTGCTGGGACTGGAACACGTCCCATCTGGCATGGCTCAGAGAGGGTGTGTGGCCCGCCGCGGGTCACACAGCTAGTCAGGGCAGACCGAGGGCACCACCACACCACGCTGCCTCCCTTTCCTGGGCGCACTGTGCCTCTGTCGCTTAACAGAAGTGACCTGCGGGGGCGTCTAGGGAGACTCAAGAGGAAGGTCGGGGGCCGGGTGGCAGTACCTTGCGCAGGCCGCTGAAGGGCACGTCCAAGGGCAGTGAGAAGAGGTTCTCCACAAACTGCTCGAAGGTTCGGGACAGCTCCGCGCATTGCGCCTCGTCCAGCCGCAGCCCCAAGAGGATGCGCGCGGCCATGCGGAAGGTTAGGGCTTTGGCAGCATCGTAGACCGCCACGGGCCGGCGGGCTGCGCACCAGGAGCGCACAAACCTGTAGGGAGCGCGAGCGGTGAGCCCTGGCCACTGTCCGGCCTCCTCTGCTCGGCAATTGCAGAGGAGCCAAAAGGCCAATTTGGGGACCTTTCTCTTCTAAGTGGTCCGGACCTACACGTGATGGCTCTTGCTCTCGCCATTCCCTCTAGTTCTTTTCTGATGTACAGTCCGCCCCCTCCCCCGCCCCCCGCATGCATCCAGGCTCCCTCCAGCTGCCACCCCCTCGAGGAAGTCGCCCCTAACTCCTCTCCAAGGCTGTTTCCAGCGCTTCTGGTATCTGTTACAGAAGATCGGAGATGAAAGGACCTTTAAGTCCCAGTCCTGGCCTTAAAAACCGAAGTCGGAGAAGGTAAGGAACTGGTCCGAGGCCACCCCCTGATTGGCCAGGGGTTCCAGCCAGGTTCGTAGTGTACCCCTAACAATTAGTCCGGGCCTCGCCCCACAACAGGTGCCCGAGGAACCGCGGGCCTGAGGTCCCGACGGCCCCTTCTCTGGTTTTGGCTCACCTTGCGCCGCTGCCTGTGTGGCTCGCCAACCGCGCCGAGCAGTGTGTGCGAGCCCAGTAGGATGTGCGCGCTCTGCGGCCACTGGCTGCGCACAATGCGGTGTTCGCCCAGCAGTATTGTGCGCACATTCTCGGCGCCGCTCACGCGGATCACCGGCCTGCCCAGCAGGTGTGTCTTGAACACTGTCCCGTAGCGCTCCCGGCGGGAGCTGTGGAAGCGCGAGCCCTGCAGCAGGAGCGGCGAAGAGGGCTGGGACCGCTGGGGGCCTGGCCCAGACCTCCCAACCGCCCCTGGGTAACAAGTCCCTGCTTCGGGCTGGTGCATTACTTTCTAAAAAGTCTCAAATGCGTCTCGTGACTACCCTACAGGAGTTTAGAAGCCCCTGCTCCCATTGGTGAAATGAGGAAAGCACGTAGAATGCGGACGGTGAAAGCCAAAGGGCTCACGGCTGAGATGCCCCGACTCCTGATTCTATGCTTGCAGTTCATAGAAGGCATGCTCCCCAGGCTCCTTCCTAGAACCCCTCTGTTCACCCCACCAGTGTAAGTAGCCATGATGGCAGTCCTTTCGAGGGAGCAGCTGGACGAAGGCGAGGACAATGTATGCTCCGTGGGTAACGGGAAGGACAGGCTACGAACCCTGGGAGGGTCCAGTGGGAGCCAGGGGAGAAGGGGCTATATCGGGGTGTGGGGAACGCCAACTGCTCACCTGAACTAACCAGTGCAGCGTCTCGCCGAAGAAGGGCCAGCCCATAGAGCCCTTGGGCAGGGGCAGGGTGGAGGCCCGGTCCCGGCTCAGCATCCAGCGGAGGGTCCAGAGGTGCTGGGCCAGGCTGAGCAGGAGGCCGGCGCACAAGAGAGCGGTGCCAGCCGCCCCCAGCGCAGACAGGCAGCTCAGACCGCAGGGGAACATGGCGAGCATGCAGGGTGCCAGGCCGCTCTGAGCTCAGGGCGCAAGAGCTGGGGAGCAGGCAGCGCGCAGAGCTCACCAGTTCTGTCCAGAAAGGTCCCGTCGCTTGGGGGCCAAGACCTAGAGCTATAACCTCGGACAAGGATTTCGCTCTCAAAGCAGACGGGCAGTGTAAGGCGGCAGTGAGCACACGCCTTAGGGAATGTGCTTTCCCCAAGGCGCGCACACTCAGGACTTTTCCTCTCGGGATGCTCACGCCTAGCATCTGCGGGCACCTCCCACCTTCTCCCGGGGCCAGCACTCCCTCCTCTGATAGAAGCAGCAAGGGCGGTAAGAGGGGAGCAACTCACCGGTGTTGCCAACCTGGGCTTCAATCACCAGGGCTGTAGACCCCCGCTCCCCCTCCCTCCCCCAGTCTGTTAACTCTTCTCGGCCCATCCCGGGCACATTTATATAGACACTGGCTCCCTCCCTACGGACTGATTCAGAAACACACGACGTGACGCGCCCATGCATATTTAAAGCGCTCCGTGCAGAGTACTGATTGGAGGCGGTGGGCTGCGGCGGGCTCGCCAGGGGCAAGGAGCAGGGCGTGGCAGCCGCAGCGGCACCGCGGAGGGACCGGCCGAAATACTCTGGCTGGGTCTTCGGGTTCGAGCCAGAACTTGCCAGCAGGAGCTCGGCGGTGGGCAAACTGCGCGCACTGAGCTATCGCGCGTTCGCTCTGCTTCTAAGTGCCCTTTCCCCTCCCTGTGCTCAAAGCTGAGGTCTGGGATTTCTCCCATTTGCTGTTTCCCTTTCGGGAAATTGCGGACTTCGACGTCAACCTAGGCTTCGTACGCGCCTACGAAGAAGATAGCCAGGGTCGAGATTCTCCGATATCCCCACTCCTTCCTGGTCTTTGATCTACCACTTCAGGAATCCTTCAAAAGATGGTCGGGTTTCTAGGTGGTTAGAGCCCATGCCCGCGCACCCAAGGGTCTCAGGTTAGATTCCCGGTCAAGGGCACGGACCAGGGTTATTAGGTTCGACCTGCGGCCAGGCCGGGGCGTGTGGAAGGCAACCAGTCGATGTGTCTGTTTCACATCGATGTTTCTCTCTCTCTCTCCCTTCCACTCTCTAAAAATCAAAGGAAAAAATATTTTCGGGTGAGGATTAAAAAAAAAAAAAAGATGGTTGCGTCATTGTTGCCCGAAGCCAAAGAGAAGCAGATATCCCAGGGCTCCTTTCGGATCTCAGGGACCACATTCACCATCCCCTTCCCCTTCGGAGGCCCCCCGCCCCAGTCTACGTAGTTGCTTTTTCTTTCCATCTCAGGGCTCCAAATGCCCCAAGGACGCGCGCGCGCAGGTCCCTGTCCCTACAGCAACCAGAGGGTGGGGAGGTAAAGCGCAAAGTTCCTATGTTACTGAGAAGAGTGGGGTGAACTCAAGCCCGTACGGCTGTGCAAGGCAGCCGCTCTCCGAATTTGGGACACCTCGCCCAAGCCGATGCCCTGGAGGGTTGGGTAAGGCACACCAGCGACAACCACATTCCACAGTCTTCCAAGAGAGCTAGCTGGCTGTTCACCCTCTTTTAGCAACTTCTAAGAATTACCATGTTTTCCATGTAAAGTTTTAAAAGTGTGAAAAATCTTTGGATAAGAAATGGTCAAAAGAACGTTTATTTTCTTTGTTTTGGTGACACCCCATTTCAATAACTAGGGAATAATACCCTTTCTAAATGAAGCAGTTGTTTTAAATCAGGAAGCTCTGAATAGATGCTAGAGCAGCTTATTTTCAAGAACTTGCTCAACCTCTTTTATATTTCATCACAAAATCAAGAAATGTACATATAATTTTTTACACTTATTTTACAGAGTCAAGTAGAAGTTTCTTACAGGCATAAATCCTGAAAATGCAAAAGGAGCATTCAGCATAAATACAATGAAGAGAACATAAGGATCAGACTGCTGTTTTACACAAAGGAAAATATACATTGTTCTAGGTTTTCCAGAGTTCATTTGGTTTGGCTTGTTTCCAAGTGAGGGTACGGTAGGGGGACATGCTATTTGAAGGAGTAACCTGACCCCTGTGGTACCTCATGTGCAGGAACATAGCTACTGTGGCACAAGCTGCACCTGAAGTGGTTACCCCACTTACTTCCTGTCCTCTCTTTTAACTTGACCCAAACCAAATAAATTCTAGAATAGGGTCAGCTACAAACAATATAGTTAGAAATATTACCCCTGCCGAACAAAAACATTGCATCCTTAGAAAATCTAACACTTGTCTTCATATTCAGAATGGTTACATTAAACCACCCAAAGAGAACAAATAATTCACATTTTTATGGAGTTAAATCAAGGTTGATTTCAGGGACCTTTAAAGATTTACCTATTTCCCCTTCAGAGTTAGCAGAATTAGAAAATTTTTGTCTAATTAAATCATATTTAGGTGAAAGTAAAAGCTAAAAGTCAGAAAATGACAGTGAAATATTCCCATATCGGACATGATTGCATTCCAAAACTAGATACTGATGAAAAAACAAAACCATCATTCAAGTCTGAATAAAAAAAGATATGTATAGGCATAAGTTTTTCTAATGTATTTACAATCAGTTTCATATACAATTTCTGACCTGATTTACATATATTTTTAAAAGTGAAAAATTAATGTCACGCTTTCCATATACAAAATAGTATTCAATTATTTAAAAATCCATACAAATGATATTTATTACTGTCTCTCATTTCAGCTCTCATCAGCGTCTTTCCTCTGTGTTTTTTAATTCTGCAAACTGCCGCTACCATAGAGATAACTATTCAGTCACGAATTTGGTGTCACTGAGTGCATGGGACGTGAAGTCTATGTGTGCTGGGACATACCATTCACCAAACTTCGCAGCTGTTTCATGACTGTCTCTATCAACTTCTGTTTGTCTCGATCATTCTTCCTGAACTGAGCAAATATATTGTTCTTTTTGTTAGTATCCTTCATCCTAGGAACATATGTGAATGAAGAAGCTTAGTAAAAGAAATAACTTATGCTGTCACAAGTAAAGAATCTTGGGGTGCTCTGAATTATCTAACATTAAGCCTATGCTTGAAAAATATATTTCAAAGAAAATAAGTACTAATAGAATTAGGAAATAGGTACCACACAAAAAAATTAGCAGCTTTATTCTACATTCTCTTTAAAGGGGTATTTTTGCATTAGTATATAAATCTATATATACTAGATTTATAATATTATTTTCTAATATTATACTATTTTCTAATATCATTCCATAAGTATGCTAAAATACATACCCTCTATTAACTGCAAATTATATTCATAGCAAGACAAGGTAAAAGGAAAAATAACATTAGAAAATTTAAAGCAGCAATTTTTTTTTTTTGCCTCAGTGGTGTTTCATGGTATTGTAAAATAAATTTACATGTATTTTAAACAGTTCTTTTTCTTCCCAAGTAAAATACACCATACACATTTTGAAATGTGGGGAAATAATATACACTTGTAATTCAACAATTAAAATTTTTAATAGTGATACTTAAAATGAAATATGATTGAGTAAAAAATAATCTGTCACATAGTTTGACAGAAACCAACACCTACACTTGTATTATTTTTAAATGGACAAGATACACCAGTAAGTGTCCTGTTACTCCAGTTCTTACTGTATTATTTTCTAAATCACATGCTTCTTTGCTACAAAGAACCCGGGCCCATAACGGTGGAGTTTGATAGCACTCGCTGGTGGCAGCCATTCCAATTCTGAGCCACATTTTACAAAATAACTTCTTTCCTATGTTACAGCATAAAATATAGTTCCAGTTCTCCCTTATCTCAAGTAAACACATTTCTAAGGCCAATGAAGCCTGCTACTGAGAGTACAGTAGGAAAAATGTTTTGTTCCTATTAACATAAATAGCAATCTCATACACCAACACTGAAGGATAAAAAAGAGGCTTATGTTTTGGTTATTAAAATGGACTGAGCCTTTAAGCTCTCTTTAGACATTTCTCTTTTGATGAAAACCTCTAGTTCTTTAATCACCAAATCACAAAATGCTAAAATATTATGTAAAAAAGTTTTCAGAATATACTCACTTCTCCAAAAGAGTAAGGGCTGTGTTTGGATTCACCCGGAGGTACTTAGAGGCTGGCTGTCCATAATCAGCTAGGTAAGTAGACCAATCCCAAACCATAAACAGGTCAAGGAGCTGAGAAAAATGGGGAAATGTTAAACCAACTTTTAGCTACTTACCTACAGCTAATACATAAGTATATGCCACTCTAGATCCACTGTAACATGACCTGCTTCTTAGATAAAACAGAATAAGGAAATTCCTTTTTGAAACTCAATTAACTGCACTTTATAATCAAAATAGTATTTACTATCTTTTTACTTTTGAAGTCATTAAAATTGTCAGGCGTTGCTTTTCTAATAAAATACTTGATTGCATTTTCAAATAAGTATAAAATGAAAACAGTTAATATTAACTATATTAGGTATAGAGATTTAAACTTTACATATTATTCAGTTCACACTCAAATTTAATAAGGGTTGGTGCTACTAATTGAAGAATGTTAAAGAACTTAAATTTAACCTTTTCTCTTAAAGGTTAAGTATGTTTACCTTTCTAAGAAGCCATTTGCATCTAGACTTTCCCAAAGTAATTTAAACCAAAAGCTCGGATAATCTCAATTAAGTGCATTAAACAACCTCTGCTGGATTCTCCCTGGTGATAGATCCTCAGTAGTCTTATGAAAGGAGGGCTTCAGGACTCAGCATGTTAACTCTAGGCAATCATTTTGTATAAACAAACAACAACAAAAAAGAAACCCTCTTGTTTTCTGTAATGTTTTAAAATCGACTATTTGCTTTATAATCTCCAGTTAGAACTGTTGTCAAATATGGAAGTAATCTTTTAAAAGCAATGCCATGCCTAAACCAAAGCACCAAACTCCTTATCCAACTTTAAAACCCTAATCCCCTTTAAGCCATTTAAAACCAACTTCC